CCCGTACTGGGAATCGGGCCCACAACCTGGGGATGTGCCCTGACTGGGAATCGAACAGGAAACCTCTTGGTACATGGGTCAACGCTCAAGCACTGAGCCACACTGGCTGGGCTAAAAACATATTTTTAAAAAATGATATATGATTTGAAAATATTTTCTCACATTTTGTAGGTTATCTTTTTTGATAGTATCCTTTAATGTACAGAAGTTCTTAATTTTTATAAAGTACAATTAATCTTTGTGTTTTTTATTGACTGTGCTTTTGGTGTTATACCCATGAAGTTGTTGCCAAATCCAGTGTTATGCATATTTTTCCTCAATGTTTTCTTCTAAGAATTTTATAGTATTAGCTCTTTTTAAAATATGTTTTTATTGATTTTAGAGAGAGAGGAAGGGAAAGGGGGAGAGGGAGAAAGAGAGAACATTGACCTCACACATCCCCAACTTGGTATCAAACCCACAACCTGAGGGGTGGGGAGAATCAAACCAGTGACTTTTCAGTGCTCAGGATGACACTAAACCAACTGAGCCACACCAATCAGGGCTATAGGATTAGCTCTTAAACTTAGGTCTTTGATCCATTTTGAGTTAAATTTTGTATATTGTGTAAGGTAAGTACATATACAATTTCATCCTTTTGCATATAAATATCTAGTTTTTCTATCACCGTTTAAAAGACTGTCTTTCACCCTGGCCGGTTTGGTTCAGTGGTTAGAGCACTGGCCTACGGTCCAGAGAGACCTGGGTTCAGTTCCCCCTAAGGGCACATACCTCAGTTGCAGTTTTTCCCCCGACCCAATGGCAACCACTCAATATGTCTTTTTCACATCGATGTTTCTCTCTCTCTCTCTCTTTCTCCCACTCTATCTAAACAAAATATGGAAAAATGTCCTTGGGTGAGGATAAAAAAATAATAATAATAAAAAATAAAATACTGTCTTTCCCATTGAATGGTATTAGCACCTTGTAAAAAGTCAATTAGCCATATATGTGAGGGTTTATTTTTAGGCATTCTATTCTATTCTATTCTATTCTATTCTATTCTATTCTATTCTATTCTGTTGGCTTATATGTCTGTCTTTATGCCATTATCATAGTGTTAATTACTGTAGCTTTGTAGTAAGTTTCAAAATCAGGAAGTGTGAGTCTTCCTATTAACCTTTTTCAAGATTGTTTTGGCTATTCAGGCTCCCTTGCAGTATGTATTTGAGGATAAACTTTTCCATTTCTGTGAAAAAGGCTGTTAGAATTTTGATAGGGATTACATTGGATCTGCAGGTCACGTTGAGTAGTATTGACATCTTAACAATGTTAATCTTCCATCTATGAATACAGAATGTCTTTCAAATTATTTAGGTATATTAAATTTTCTTTCAGCAATGTTTTGTAGTTTTAGGTGTATAAGTTTCCATCTCCTTGGTTAGATTTATTTCTAAGTATTTAATTATCTTGTATGCTTTATAAATGAAATTGCCATCCTAATTCCCTTTTCAGATTGTTCATTGCTGGTATATAGGAACAAGACTGATAACATCTAATTTTTGTGAAGAAAGAAATAGAGGCTTATAATAAATTGCTCAAAGATTCGGCTAATAAGGCCCAACTGAGGTCTCTAACTCCAAATCTATTGTGCTACCTGTCTGAAGAGGTAGCTTATCTAGCCCCTTTCCCATTTTGCCCGTTCCTTCTGACTTGATGCTCTTAGTTGCAAAATACAAAACACTGGAAAAAGAAAGAACTGGCAACAATTATGCTCCAAATTCTAACCAGTGTGACAACGGAATCATAAGGAAGCAACCAAGGCCCCAAGGATACTTATAGATATCCCACAGACACTTTCATGTTCATTCTTTTCCAGTGGAAGTCCTAGAGGCAAATCAGAGTCAACATTGAATGTATCACTTCAAAATGCCAAAATATTTTATGAGAATGACTCAGAAATCAAGAAACTACTTGTAGCAGATCAAGTGCTATAATACATTGTCAGTGTAGGACAGCTTCTCATGGCCCTGACAAAAGGACTATGTTATGACATGTGAGAACTGGATACGGGGTGGCTCAGGCTCAGGAGAGGAGCACTTTGCAGCCTTCCAGGAGTTTGGAGACCAGGAGTGTGTCAAATCACTCTGAAGAGTTTCTAAAAGACAATGGCAGTCTTGTTATGCCTGTAGGAGGGATCACCTTTCTCCAGAACTATGAATGCCTTTCAGGAACCATCCAGAAATTCTTTCCTCTGTAGTCCCCAATGAACACTTTCTTCCTTCCCAAACTTGCTGTCTGACAGGATTCCTGAATCTCTACTTCCTTCTGTTTCTGGGAAAACAGACACTTAGAACGTGCAGCCATGCCCAGCCAGAGTGGCTCACTGGTTGAGCATTGACCCATGCACCCAAAGGTTACCTGTTTGATTCCCGGTCAGGGCACATGCCCAGGCTCTGGGCCCAATCCCCAATGAAGGGCATGCAGGAGGCGGCCAATCAATGTTCTCTATCATCCATGTTTCTATCCCCCCTCACCCCCTTAAAATCAATAAAGAAAAATATTTTGAAAAAAATAATAAAATATGCAGCCATAGCTACTATTGTTGCAGTTGCCACTGCTGGGAACCTGGCCCAGTAGCTATGGAGAGTACTATGAGAGTTTTCTCAGTCCACCTTCCTGCTGGTCTTTGTCTAGGCCAGCAAGATTCCCAGAAAGGAATGCTGGAGCCTAGAGAACAGAAGTGTATATGTACACACACAAGAACATTCTGGCCAGGAGACAACACTTTAGGATCTTCTCAATTCACCCTCTTTTATCTCCAGTGTAAAGATATTATATTACAATGGTGTGATTATTCCTCATACCTCCCAAGAAATCCCGCACAAGGAACTGCAGAGCCTTCATACATGAAGAATTTTTAGGCAGAGAGGTAGGGGGATGCCTGAGCACATATGTAGGTTCCTCCTTAAAACATGGAATACTAAGAAAATTCCACAGGGCTTCAAAGCTGCCACAGTAACAACCAGATAGAAAATAAGTGGAGAAAGTCCACAAAGCAAAATGTCAGTGTCATACCAGACAGCTTTCTCTGTGGCTAAGACCTTGGACATGTTATAACAGTCATTTCATTTATATCACAGAAAAAAATAACTGAAGTATGTAGGTCATAATGTTTCAAATTATTTTTTCCAGTGGGAATATTATGCCCTGATGACAGTCTATTCCCACTTCTTCCATAAATCACCAGCAACTTCCTTCAAAATGGTCCAGTGTCTCACCTTCATACCATCCTCACATCGCCTGATTAATGTTCTTAAACATATTACTCCTCTAATCAAAACTTTGCACTGTTTTCTTATTGCCAGTAGAATTAAACCTTAATTCCTCTGTATGTTATTTGAGTTTTCTTACCAATCAGTTTCTCTGTTTATCCCTTACTATGTCCTGATTGCCAGGCCAGTCATGCTCTGAGCCATAGTCATAGTTTCCTCCACTTGTAATGCCAGCTCCACTCACCTCTTATTTTCTAACTCTTCCTACTCACATTTCAGGGCTCTATTCAAATCCCACCCCCTCTACTTCTACCCACTCTCCCTGCTATAAATTCCTATAGCACACTTACTATCCATCTAATGTTGGCAGCTTATTTATTGATTAATATGCATGTCCGACTGCACTAGATGCTTTGTGGATCCAGAGAATAGATAAGGTCCCTGCCCTGAAGGAGGAGACTTTGTTGTGTTGTTATGATACATTACTGTTTCTTGAGCAAGCCTGGTCACCACAGTAAAATGTACAAGTTCTGTGAGGATGCCATGCTTATCACAGTGCTATCTATGTACATCCTAGGATTTCAGAAGGACTTACTAAATTGAATTAAATTCATTCTCCCACCCCCCACCCCCCTCTCTAGCTTTCAATTCAGGGTGGTAACTGAAGTGCAATTGCTAATTGCTCCTGAATGGCCAAACCTAACAGAACTAGTCCATTTCAGCTAGGCTGAAGGGGTCAGGGTAAGGAGTAAGACAGAAAAAGCCACCCTAATGTGTTGTTCCATCAGCAACACAGAAAAGTTGTTCAGTGCAAGTCCACCCTCCTGGCTCGACCCCTAACTGTAGGTGTAAACTGAAATCAAATGCAGTTAGCTGCACAGGCAGAGGAGCTAGGAAAGGCGAAGAGTAAGGAAGGAGAACAGTAGAAACTTCCTCCTCCAGCATATGAGCAGCAAGGGCCATCAAAGATGGACTGGCTTCCTTTGGACATAACAAAAGACACGCCAGGGCCAGTCGTTGGGAACCACAATTCAGACTTGGCACATTTGTAGCAATAAAGGCTTGATATTGGCATGTTTGGTTTCCAGACACCTGCATCCAACAGGTAACAGCCCTGAGATGTCTCTCACAGGTCCTGAGCTGGACGGATTTGGACAAGCGGGAACCCCAAAACCGGGTTCTTCATGGGACCCCGAAACAGGCTGAAAGATCTGACCAAAAGCAGAAATGGTCCTAGAGTTGGGGACTGGGGCAGGTTTCCGCTGACTTCATGCACCTCCTGCCTCTCCCACTGTAAACCAGAAGAGTCCATTCCCTGCAGACGACCAGGTCGAACGATCCTTGGGTTAATCAAGGTGCTCGCTGAGTCTCGGTGCAGCTCCAGAACACGATTTCCACCTATTTCTTGCTCCGGGGCGGCAGTCAGGGTCAACAGAGCCCCCTGGCCGGGCCCCTCTGCGCGGCCCCTCTGCGCTGCAGGGTCGTTGAAGCCTGTGCTCCTCCTCTCTCATATCCCCTCCCCTCCTCTTCCCTCCCTCGGACCAGTCCCTCCCCCAGCCGTGGCGGGGGGGGGGGGGGGGGGGCGGGCTTTGCTCGTCGAGGCCCGTGCATTCCAGAAAGCCTAGCGAGCTAGAGCAACAAAGGAGCCGGGTAGTCGGTGGGGAGGAGTCGGGGGACTGCGGCGCGCTCGGGCGAAAGTGGCTGCTGAGCCCCGGGCTGGTGCCGGGGCGGCGCCGGGGACCTAGTCCCGCACCCCCGGCCCGCGCCTGGCCTCCATCGCGGGCCCCGAAGGTGGTTTTTAATGGTGGGAAAGGGGATGGGGCTGGAGATTGGGGGCCCAGAGGGCTCCCAGGGCTGAAGACAACTTGGATTGCCAGGAAAAGGGTTAGGGAGCTGTGCATCCCGGCCCGGGCCTCCGCTGCCCAACATGGGCCTCGGGTTCCAAAGTTTGCGAAGTTGGGCGCCGAGGGCCCGCGGCGTGCAGCGCATCCGGAGGAGCCCAGCACCGGACTGGCAGGGCGCACAAGTTGCCTGAGTCGCCTCCGTGGCCCCAAGGGTTGCGCGCGTGCCCTGGGGGTTCCGGGGAGCGGGCGGGGGCGCAGGGCTTCTGCTGAGTTGGCGGGTTTGGCCATGGCCGCTGCTCGCTTCGCTCGGGGGCCGGAGCTCTTGCTTCTGCTGCTGCTGCTGCTACTGCTGCTGCTGCTGGGGGGCCCGGGCCGGGGGATGGCCTTGAGCGGGAACGCCACCGGGCCTGGGCCGCGGAGCGTGGGTGGGAGTGCCAGAAGGAGCGCGTTGGTGACTGGCCCTCCGCCGCTGCTAAGCCACTGCGGCCGGGCCGCCCCCTGCGAGCCACTGCGCTATAACGTGTGCTTGGGCTCGGCGCTGCCCTACGAGGCCACCTCCACGCTGCTGGCCGGGGATTCGGACTCCCAAGAGGAAGCGCACGGCAAGCTCGTGCTATGGTCCGGTAAGCGCGTGGGAGCAGAAGCTTGGAGACTGCGGTGTTGGGATGCTGGGACTCTGGAAAAGAATAGGCTCAGGCCTGAGCTTTGTAAAGGGCAGGAGGAACAGAGTCTGAAACTTTGGGGAGGCTGTATGCAGGATGGGACCCTCGGTGATGAGGAAGGAGGGCGAGGAAGTTGAGAAAGCAGGTCACAAAGTGCCTGAGCTGGGTGGGTGAGCAAAGAATGCGGGGGAACTAGGGGCATGTCAGAAAGGGGCTCTGAGCCACAGGAAAGGCCTTTTTTTTTTTTTTTTTTTTTTTAAATAAGAGGAGATGCTTCACCTAAGTGCCACTTTGGAAGCTGGGTCCTCAGTGATTCAGGGAGATGTTTAGACCTTGGAAAAGAGTCCAGGAAACCGAGTTGGAAAGGAAAAAAGGGAAGGATGTGGGTAGAAGATTTAGGAATGAGGGTGAGGAGTGAGAACTGAAACCCCCTGATGATGAGTAATTAAAAGGTAACTAGAAAGTTCCAAAAATGTTGTTTTGGGAGACAGTAAGTCCAGAGAATCTTGATCTTATTTTGCTTTCACAGGAGATTTCACAGTTTCCTCATCTGAAAAATGAGGACTCCGATTTTTGTCTGAGATTGTGAAGGAATGAGACTATTCTAATGATTATGTGTGTGTTCTTTGGAAGTTTGGGTTCTCAGGCTAGTCAGTGCTGCAGAAGGACACTTAAGTCTGGAATGTTGAGAGCTATTTCCATGGTGATCTGAGGTCCCAGAGCCCTCACCTCAGGGTGGGATTATGGTCCATCCTGAAAATCTACAGACTGAACCCAAACAGGTCCTTCCTTAGCAGTGTAGAGTGAATTATGTCCCCACCTGTCACTCTTCTGAACTGGGAGCTTGAAGGGTGCTCAGTAAGGTAATGGGCCTTGTTATCCTTTACTTCTAGCCAGTGTGATTCAAAACTGACCTTGAAAAAGAAAATAAAATCGAAAGCCAGGAGCAGACCTGGCAACCTCCTTTTGACAGACCTCGGTGCCCCACATCTCATTCTGCCCTGGTACCCCACATCTTCCATCTCCATTCTGCCCTGGGTGCTTCAGGTGATGATCCTGATGGGGCAAGTCTATGTAGATTGCTTGTTGTTATCAATTTGGCCACTAGAGTTCTCAGTTTTTGCAGGATGTTGGACAAAGCCATATCGTTCTTGGCTTGGAGCAGATGCCAGATGAGGAACTTGAAGGATGGTGCCCATAGTGGAGCTTCATCCTTTCTGGGTATCAGGTCAAAATATTGGCAAAAACCATGTGTAAATAATAGTAGCTTTGAAAAATCCATAAAATAAGACCTGTGTAACTTTGCATATATGCTCTCTTCATGGTAATATATCTGTATAATGTGTCACAAATAGTAATGTATAGTATGTAAAAAGGGGCACACACAGAAACTATCATTTTAGCCTTTAAAGGACATAAATGTAAAGCAGAAGACTGAAGGAATAAAAAGGAAACATAAAAGGTATAAACAATATTTCTTTGAGCACTACCGGAAATAAGGCTTGAGTTTAGGAGCCAGCTGTATGGACAATCCAAATACATTTCTCAGTACTAGAATCTCAGTGTGTTTTGAGTTGCTCACACTATGAAAGGATATTCTGCTTCTCTCTATTTATGTATTTTGCAAAGGACTGTGGTTGAATTCTCCTACGTTAGATGCATGTGTGATGCTGCCTTTCTGTTGTTACCATCAAATCAAGGAGGAAGGGTATGAACCTCTTTCCAGCCCTTACTGCTGAGAGCAGCTGCTTAGTAGGCAGAAGTGGTTTTGGCAGGAAAGTTTAGGAGTTAGAACCATCTGCTGGCTATGCAGGTTTGAACCTCACTAGCTGTGCCTCTGGTGGGACAGGTTCCTGAAGAGGTGCCAGCGCTGAGCCCAGATCCTTAGTTCACTCTGAGCTCTTCTCTGTCGCCACCCATCATCCCTCAGCTCAGTCCCATTCCTATGTGTTTTGGTTATTTTCTTTCTGCTTTGGGTCCTTCTGTGGGATGTTCTATGAAGTAGAGCCAGAAGCAAGTGTTGGTATGGGCTGAGACCGTGGATGAGTAAAGTGAACCAGAACCAGGAGTGAGAATCACAAACAGGCCATCTACTGGGAATTGTGGCTAGTGGCCAATGATTGGTCCTGTCCTGAGTTAGTGGTCTTGAGTTGGCATTAGACACTGTGTCACCTGGCTCTTGGAGGTATTTTTGTGGGTGAAGGATGAAGATGATCTAGGTTGTCTTCATCTGTAAACTTTTGAAAGTAGAGACTTGCTCTTCACTTTTTTTCTGAAAGCCTCTGAGTTCTGAGTACACACACATTCCCAGTCATTTATTCATTTAGGTATTGGGTGCTTGCTACATCCTGGATCAGGTTCTGGAGCATATAAAGATGAAGAATGCATGCAATGAACCCTGCTATCAAGGGGAAGACAGACAAATAAACAGACTTTAGCAATATTTGTGAAAGGTATTGTGACAAAGTAGAGGACTGAAGGAACGCAAAGAGAAGACCTACCCCGCTCCCCCACCCCAGAAGAACTGACACTTACTCCATGACCTGAGAAATAATTAGGAATTACCTGGGCCAAGGAAGGGTTAGGTGGGAAGGGATAGGAAAAGAAAATAACATGCACAGACATGAAGAGGTGAGAGGGCTTGATACTTTTAAGAAAGTTTAAGAATTTCAATAGAGCCCAGCCCATGGGGTTTAGTTGGTTAAGTGTTGTCCCATGCACAGGAGGTCACAGGTTCAGTTCCCAATCAGGGCACATGCCAGGGCTGTGGGCTCGATCTGCAGTAGGGAGTGAGCAGGAGGCAGCCGATCAATGTTTCTCTTTCACCCATGTTTCTATCTCCCTCTCCCTCTCCCTGAAATCAATAAAAGCATTAAAAAAAGAAGAAGAAGCCCTGGCCGGTTTGGCTCAGCGGTTAGAGCGTCGGCCTGCGGTCCGGAGAGACCCGGGTTCGGTTCCCGCTAAGGGTGCGTACTTCGGTTGCAGTTTGTCCCCGGCCCTGGTTGGTCGTGCGGGTGGCAGCCACTCGATGTGTCCCTTTACGTCGATGTTTCTCTCTCTCTCTCCTTCCTCTCTCTCCCTCCCACTCTATCTGTACAAAAAATGGAAAATATCCTCGGGTGAGGATAAAAAAAAAAAAAAAAAAAGAAGAAGAATTTCAGTAAAGCTAGATCAAAGCATGTGAGAGATAGAATTATAAGTGATTAAACCTACAGAATTAGAAAATAAAGGGATTCATCCCCCATATTAAGAAATTTGTATGTTGTCCAGAAGATAATAAGGAGCTATTGAAGGCTTTTAAGTAAGGGAGAGATGTAATCATATTTGCATTTTAGAAAGACCTTTGAGTACTGTGTGAAGAAGCCATGGCTGGAGGGAAAACCTGGAGGCTGGTTGCTTGTTGAGGGGATGGTTGAAGGAGTCCAAGTGTGAGATGGCGGTGGTCAGGACTGAGGTAACAGGCTGAAGGAAGTAGACGGATCACAGAGTTTCAGAGCTAGAACCAATGGAACTTGCTGATGGGTTGGATGGAGGACTTGAATGGAAGGTGGTACCTTCCTTTTCACTAAGCCAGAGAATGCTAGAGGAGGAGTAGGTTTAGAAGAATGTGGGTTCAGTTTCGGCCATGTGAGTTAGAGGCGCTTATTGGATGTCTATGTGGAAAGTCCAGCAGATCTGGACTAGGAATTACTGAAGAGAGGTGGCCACTATGTCCTTCTTTGGCCCAGACTTTGTGTCTTATTTCCTTTTTCCTCTATGTAGAGCTTTTGGAAGCATGACATTGAGTGAGGAAGTTCATAACTCAGGTTGGGCCAATTTCTAGGTTTGAAGAGAACTTGGGTCTCTCCTATATCTTTCAACTCTCTGGACGTGGGATTTTTCCGGCACTCAGCATCTGCCCCATTATAGCTTAAAATGCCTCCCCTCAGGCATTCCAGGGTGACCAGACAAACATAATATCCAGGTCATGGTCCACCTTCGGCCAAATCTGGTTTGGTAAATGGGGCAAGAAAGCAGAGAGGCCAGAGGCTGGCAAGGGAAATAGGTCCCTGAGAGCCAGCACGTAGCCTCTTTGACCACTGCTCTGCCCTGTGTGTGCACAGGGGCATGTGGACCTGACACCCGGCTGGGACAGCCAGTAGGAAAGAGCCAGAGACACTGGGAGGATTTCTCATTTGCTCTTGGACATCTAGTTGAGAGATGAGAGGAGGGATGTTGGTAATGGTGAGTTATTTGCAGGGTCAGGTCAGGAAGAATTCCCTTAGAGCTGTTCCCAAACCTGGCTGGCTGATGATCAGAGTTTTAAAAAGTATGTATTTTGGGAAAGTATAAAAATACGGAGTAACAACCACGGGCCCACATTTTCATTTTTGCTTCCGACTTTTAACTTTTTAATTGTGAAATGTAGCATGTATACAGCAAGTGCATTAAACACAGAGGTATTAAATAACAAATAATTATGAAGTGCCACCTGAATCAAGAACTAGACCATGGTGGGCCCCCATTAGCTCCCCCTTTGTCTTTTTCAATCACATCTTTCTCCTTCCCCTTTTATTTTTTTTAATCCTCACCCGAGGATATTTTTCCATTTTTTGTACAGATAGAGTGGGAGGGAGAGAGAGGAAGAGAGAGAGAGGAAGAGAGAGAGAGAGAGAGAGGGAAACATCGATGTGAAAGGGACACATCGAGCGGCTGCCACCTGCACGAACAACCAGGGCCGGGAACAAACTGCAACCAAGGTACATGCCCTTAGCGGGAACCGAACCCAGGTCTCTCTGGACCGCAGGCGGATGCTCTAACCGCTGAGCCAAACTGGCCAGGGCCTTCCTCTTTTAGAAGTAACAGCTACCCTGATTGTTTTATAATCATTTCCTTTTTCCTCTATAGTTTTACCATCTAGTTTTGGAATTCCTAAACAGCATATTTCAATTTTATAATTTTTGAACTTTATACAATAGAGT